ATAATCGTAAGGTCTCTATTTTCTGTGCGGTCGTCACCATTAACATTATTAGTACGGTTTAACATTCTCGCTTAGTTCCGAAACTGGCGTCCACTTGCCCACTCCCAAAAAACCGTGGACATTTTAGGTCCTTGTGTGGTGATTGAAAAAGTGATTTGAACTCGCACCTTCGGGACTCCGGTCTTTCGTTCTATCTATTGTGAGTATTGAACTATCGAGCCAACAGGGATTGGAAGCGAATTTAAATGCACGAACTATTTTCGCGACGACTAAAATTTTTCGCCATCTATATGTGAGTCTGAGTCCGAATGTCTAGAAGGTGTAATTGCGTTCAAATTCCGCACGAGTCAACTTTTTCATGCAATTGACTTCGACAGTATAAGAAATCATGTTTGAAATTTTCTCGTCATGGTTCTGCAATGGCTATATCACTTTCCGGTGATGTAAATTCTTATACATAATTAGGTTCTTATAATCTTACTTTTCAGACTTTTCATGAAACATTTGCAATCAAATTTGAAACAATTTTTCAAGAGCTGGGTTTGTCCGAACATTTATACTTCAATTTAGTATTATTATTCCATTCATGCAATTATAAGTGTATTTAATGTTGACTGCATGTGTTGTCTTGTTTTAACTTTTAGTACTTCATTTTCAACGCACTACCGTACTTGCCTGAAATGCTTTTTTCTTACAACGATTGCGCCATCCTTGATAAAGTCTTTGTTGGTGGAGCGGTAAGTCATAATTTGTCTGCTTTCATTGGCGACGGCATGTATCTTTAATGGTTTGAAGATTTACAGTAAGGGAGCTCAGTATACAAATGTCCACAACCCAACAAAGTTATTAGAGAGTTTACGATCTGCGACGCGGCCAGCTCAACGCGCGGTCTAAATTTCCGCTCAAGAATGAGCGCTAAGCAACTTGATTACTGCATGTAATAAATAATTGACGCTTTTTCAAATAGCCTTACAAACTGGTACGTTCGGCTAAAGCGATGCAATGTTTGCTGTAATTTCGACTTTAAGTAACATGATCACCTCTTGGGTCGCATTAAGCTTTCACGCCTTGCTTGAAAGATAGGCCGTCGTCTAGTGCCTCAAAATGTTTAGTTTCGTTGCACACCTCTTTAAACTAAAAGAAAATTACATATTCTTATAGATTAAGTGACGCTGAATCCAAATCTAAAAAGTTCTTGCGGGTTCACCCTGCAGTTTTTTTGTAAATTGCGATCAAAATCTTAAAATTTACGAGTTTCGCAATAGCATTTTTACTACATGCCATACGTCAAAATGCCTACTCTCGGAACCAGTCACTCGCGCGCCATAGTGAAAATTATACAGGATAGGTCACTTCCGCCTCCTCTTGAGATATGTGAAATCAGATTTGATGTAAACAATGAGCAACACGATTTTCAAGTTTCATATATCATTGCGACAAAGCGTATTTTCTGGCTTTGTACGAAGATATTTAGCAACACCAGGCATTCTTTCAAGATTATGAACTTATGTGCACATTTTTTCATCCTTATTGCGTGTAATAAAGGACGAAACAAACTTCAATTTTATATTTTGAAGACTGAGCATTGATGCCTAATGGACATATAAATTTGTAGCAATTGATATATTTGTATGGTAAGCCAAAAACTATCAAATATACTTAATTATAGTAAATCTATAAAATACATATTTAAACAATACTATAATTAATACCATATAGTAATTAATAGCACATTAGGTTTCATCATCATCACAATCCACTGTTGTTCTCACAATTGCTTGTGTGGATTTTTGTATAAAATTTATGCCAAGAGCATAGGTAATAAAGTGTTAGTGCATTTGCAAAGTTCAGTGCACTTCAAATTTGTCTTAAAACATGAGCATCTTTTTGTTTGACAACCCTTTTTGCATTTGCAGAATTGCAGCTACCCGGAGCAGTTGCTGTCCGGATCAAATATTTCCCCATATTTCCCCATGAAAGACAAAAATGTATATATTGTAAAAATTTAGATATTTAAAAGGAGAAATTCAGAGGGAAATTGTAACCAATAGAAAGAATGTTTACCTGTTTTGTAGGAATGAGCTATGAAATACAATTATAAGTACATCCATCTTCATAGTTTGATAGTGTATAAATGTACAGATTATAGAATGTTGTTACAAATGTTGTATGGCAAATGTATTTTTAGCCAATCTGGGGCACCATATATTTAAAATATTCTGGGGAAGCATTAGTCTCCTTCAGAGCTGCTAATTGTGTTGAGTTTCTCCTCACAAGCAGCTTCTCACTCAAGCACAGCATTCTGTTCCCTTTGTCTTTCGTTAGATATCTTAATGTTTAATAATTCATAAATATCTTGTCTCAAGGTTATGTTTCCAAAAGTTAGAAGCATTACTGTGATCGGTTGTTTTCCGGAAAGGAATGTTGTGCTCGAGTGAGCCGCCACTCATGGGGAGAAACCTTGACAAAAGAGTGGCTGTGAGGTAGACTAGGGGAGGATGAGTGCCCCCATGGTAGTGCCTTAGGATCCAACCCTTGATGCATGTTATCTAAATTACTTTTATGTTATATTCCTAAAAAGATTATTAAAATTCTCCAGTGAACTCAAGACTAGAATGACATCCAGTTTGACAAATCGTTAGTGTCACACAGTTACAGTATCCAAGTGTCGATTTACTGTCAGTATTTGATTATTTGCAAAAACTTTCAATGTTCTCTTCAACCTTATAACAGTATTTAATTAAATATTCATCTGACTGCATAAGGTTTCGAGTAGATATCATCCCAATATTTAAATATTTGAGGAATCATATACTGTATATATAATCTCACCGGGGCATGTCTAATGCAAACAAATTATTTCCAGCCAGTATGCAGACATATAGGCTATAGCGAGCATAATTTATGTACCAAGGACTCATTGCTCTCACTGCTGATAGGTGAAGCTATACCTGTCACATTTTAGGAAGAGTTACTCCTCTTCAACAAACATCTGGAATCTTAATAACATTTTGTCATAAATTAGATAGGTTTACCTACTTAAAAAAAATTTCCATTACATGCTCAGTTACTGTATGTATAAGGTCACATAACTGCCACCTAACACATAACTGCTCTTCTGCCCCTTAGCAAAGGCATGTCACACACCTCTTCTGTCATATTGAACATTTTTAAACTTTAGTTAGAATATCTCAACATTGCAGTAAAGGCAAGACAACAGCACTCAGAGTATGTAGCAAGATTAAGCACCACAAATTCTTCAAATATGCATTCGAGGCACTTAGAGATGATTTACACCTTCCCGAGGGTGCAGTCACCACCTTCCTGGAGTGATATCTTTACGGCCAGGAAAATACCACATCGATCAATAATACCCATGGGGGACACAAGGCCCTGCTCCACACAGCATCTTAGAATGCTTTACAGTCAACTCGGCCCACTAACCAACTTGGCCCACTGTTCAAGGACAAACTCGTCCCGTTTCTAAACTGACTACCTAACCATTAAACAAGTTAGGAACCATGACTACATTCTATCTTTGCAAAGTTTGAGAGAGATTTGAAAAATCAGTAATTTAGATCTTTAAATATTTAAGCCAAACTGGATGTTCTCTTGCGATATGGATTTACAAATTGTTCAGAGCCAATTGCAATCAAACTTTACTCATCTGTATGCCCAATGCAACTGCAAATGGCTGTATGTATCGGTTTGTTGCTGCCTTTTGTAAAATATTAATAAGCTTCCTTAGTTCCCCAATATGTCAAACAGTAGTTATTAACTATTGGGCCGAGATGGTATGGCCGAGCTGGTCAGTAATTTGTTAGCTACAAATGCAATTAATAGGGTTGTCAAACAAAATTCTCATTTTTTAAAGCAAATTTAAATTAAAGTACACTAAACTTTGCAAATGCAGCAATTGTGAGAACAGTGAGGTAGATCTAGTTCAATGGATAGCTCCCAGATAACGTAGATGAAGGCAGTGGACTGTGATGATGATAAAAGCTAATGTGCTTGTGTGATGTTGCTCTGAGTGTATATCACATAAGCATCTTATTCACCTGAGTACATTACATCAATACAGCAAATTTCAAAAGCTAATGTGTTTAGTTACTACTGTATATGGTACTAATTATAGTATTGTTTAAATATGTATTTTATATATTTACTGTTAAGTATTTGGTAGTTTTTGGCTTACCATACTGATACAAATATATCCATAATACTGGCAATGATGTCCATTATAAAATCCAAAATGGCAAAATATAAAATTGAAGTTTGTTTCGTCCTTTACTACACGCCATAAAGATGAAATAGTGTGCACATAAGTTCATAATCTTGAAAGAATGCATGGTGTTGCTAAATATCTTCGTACAAAGCCAGAAAATACGCTTTGTCGCAATAATATATGTAATGAAACTTGAAAATCGTGTTGCTGATTGTTTACATCAAATCTGATTTCACATATCTCAAGAGGAGGCGGAAGTGACCTATCCTGTATAATTTTCACAATGGCGCGCGAGTGACTGGTTCCGAGAGTAGGCATTTTGACGTATGGCATATAGTAAAAATGCTATTGCGAAACTTGTAAATTTTAAGATTTTGATCGCAATTTACAAAAAAACTGCAGGGTGAACCCGCAAGAACTTTTTAGATTTGGATTCAGCGTCACTTAATCTATAAGAATATGTAATTTTCTTTTAGTTTAAAGAGGTGTGCAACGAAAATCGTTTTCTAGCCATCTTTTGGGGCACTAGACGACGGCCTAAATCATTGGCTATTGTTTCAAAATACCGTTTTAACGTTTAATTCTACTTTATATTAACATCCTAATTCAATACAAATTTGTGTGAGGTAAAAAACCCACCTGTATCAAACAGGACGGAGAATAAAAAATATATATGCATACAATTCACACGATCAAGGAACAAATGAAATATTTCGCTAAACGCCTTGGCCAAACGTAAGAAACAATGCCGCATGTACCCATTACCCAAACTAACATGAGCTTTCAGTTTATACCAGTCACTGAACACCACATAGAAAAGAAATTTAATCAATTAAAACGATCAAAAGCTGCTGGTATTGATAATATCCCTCCTGGGATACTTAAGGACTGTTCGACTGTTGTGAAGGATCCTCTGGCACATATAATAAATATGAGCTTATGTACTGGAGTAATACCTTCCGAATGGAAAGTGGCTAAAGTCATCCCAGTTCACAAAAAAGGGCCCATCAATGATTTTGACAATTACCGTCCTATATCGATATTACCGGCTGTCACAAAAGTCATGGAACGAATAGTGCATGATCAACTGATGAATTATTTAGAGATCAATCATTTGATAAACGATTCTCAATTTGGATTTCGACCAAAACGATCAACGCAATTAGCTGTGACGCTATTGTTGGATAAAGTTCGAGCGAATATGGATAAGGGACTACTAACAGGAATGGTCTTCATTGATCTATCCAAAGCCTTCGACACTGTGTCCCACTCTAATCTGCTAAATAAACTAACAAGATTTGGTATTAAATCATATGAGCTGGAATGGTTTACCAATTACTTGTTTAATCGATCTCAATGTGTTAGCTTCGATGGTTCATTATCAGAGAAATTCAAAGTTACATCAGGAGTACCCCAAGGGTCTATCTTGGGGCCTCTTTTATTCATATTGTACATTAATGATATCGACGACCATCTCATTAGTGCACAAATCATAAAGTATGCTGATGACACAGTTCTGTTCCTGGCTGGGCAAGATATTTCTGAAATTGAAAATCAACTTACAAGTGAAATGCAAGTTGTTACTAAATGGTTAGATGAGAACGATCTAATCATAAATCTCAACAAAGGAAAAACTGAGTCTATGTTACTGGGAACTAGTCGAAGAATACAAAATAACCCCATAAGAGTATATCTAAACGATAAACTGATCAATTTCACAACCAAATATAGATATCTTGGAGTATTGGTGGACCAGAATGTAAATCTGAAAGAACATTTTGGTCAGGCTTTTAGGAAAGCATCTGGCAGGTTAAGGTTGCTTAAGAAAATACGATCTTCTCTAACTATGGACGCTGCTGAATCTATATACAAATGCATGATAATGCCACTACTAACATATTCCAGCGTTGTTACTCTAAACTTGAATGCCACCCAAACTTCACGAATTGAAAATCTCCAGGATCGAGCTTCTAGAGTAATAAAATCAAGTGAATCGGCAGATCTAAGACAACCTGACCTGATGAGCTTTGCAAAGCTGCAAACGTGTTTCCTGGTGAAACAATGCATGGACAGGAATGTGTGTAGTAACTTTCACAGTCATTTTGAACGGTTACAACATGTAAAGAACACAAGGAACAACGGAATAAGTGTCAGGATTCCCAAAATACGCTTGGAATCCACAAAGCTTGCCTTTTATTATAATGGAGCAATTGAATTCAACAAATTGCCCAAAGATATTAGAGAAATTGACAGTTTTATGCTTTTTAAACGAAAACTTAAAGAGAACCTTAGTTCATTATAATCCTTTACAGAATTGACTGCAGTTAGATTTTTAATATTTTTAATATATTGACTTTTTATACTCATAATTTTTAGTAGTTTTAGGTAAACAGGACATGCGTTGATAGCAGTGAATAGTCACTGAAGCATTTTTTTATCCTGTGTAAATATTTTTTAATAATAATAATAATAATAATCGCGGAAATATTCGTGATTTTTAATTGGCTTTTATTGCAGACGCAAAATTTGCTTCCCAGAAAGCAAATTATTTCCTAGCAAATTCAGATTTCAGAAGCATTTTATGAAACACTCTTTGTCCGTTTGCCGACGCTGATAAGACAATATGACATACCGAAAGATTGGAAAGACAAATAATATGACAACAGTGTTTCCCAGTTCGTCCCGGGCTTTAAGGGATATTTATATAAACTCGAAATTCATCATCAAAAAAGATAAATTGGGAGGAAATATAAAATCCATAATTTCATTTGATTATAGCTATCTATAATTGAAAGAAATGTTTTCATCTTTGAACCCAGATTTCCATCAGAGCAATAATATCCCACTTATTTGGATCCTGGCCAAGGGCTTGCATGCTCAAAACGAGATTGCATGTATTCTGCAATAAGCTGTCCTGGCCTTTGTCTGGTAAAGATCTACTTCTCATATTTGAACTATTTCATGTATTATATTTATATTGTGACATAAGTTGGTATTTAGCCACTATCTCGAATAACAAGGAACGATTCAGCCTGGTTTTTCGTGTTAATTATTTTATTTACATTCTGTTAACCCTGTCCATGAGAGGGATATATGTGTTGATAATATAAATACTGTGGATCCGAATGAGAATATCGAATAAGTAAATAAATACTGATCTACTCCACTGATAATACCTACATGCATTACCATCATTGTTCACCTCAAATCATTAATAATTCATGAGCAAATTAGCCAACCATATTGCTTTATTTTGCTCACATGATAATACTAGATACTTTATGAAGTATATTGATCCTGTAGTGTTATGAAGTATATTGATCCTGTAGTGTCCTAGGACTGGATTAAAATTAATTCAGTCTTTGGACTGGATCAAAATTAATTAAGTAGTGATTTATTCGTATGAGATGTCATTTCAAATCCTCCAATTCGGACTGGACTAGGTTTCAAGTCCTCACATTTTGATCCAGTCCTCTGATTCGCCTCGGACGTGATCAAATTGCGTGGACTTGAAATCTAGTCCAGTCCTCATAGTCGGATTTGAAATATTATCCCTTGTCAAATCAGATGCCAATGGTGGCCAAGGAAGATTCAGTTTTGGTATTTCTTGCACCTTTTGGTGAAGAATCAATGCAGCATTGTATATAATTTGTAACTCATTGACTTTAGAATTTCCCTCAGTTTCTGTGTTGGAATTCACATCATCATCATC